GGTGGACGACGGTGGCGGTGATGGTGGACGGTGGTGATGGTGGTGGACGGTGGTGGTGGTGAAGAGAAGTAGAAGAAAAAAATGGAGAAGATGTTAGAAGATGTTAGAAGACATAGGTTAATGTCTTCTCCAAAAAGATGCCAGGAAGACTTTTTTGAGTGAAATGTCTTCCAAAAAACAAACAATCTGCAGAGCTCAGCATTTGCGCGCGTCTGCGCGGCGCAAACAAAAGAGGCCAGAAGCTCTTCTAGCCAAAAAACAAACACCCCCTTAATATACCCCATATTCTAAAATTAATTGTAAAAACCAACTCCGATCCCTTTAAACAAACACATTCAAGAAGTTAAATGGTTACAAGTACTCAACATTGTATGCACTTACTACTACTCAGCAATCAACACTTCTAGAGGCAAACCCCATTCAACAAACTCATAAGTTTCAATAATTTAAAATAAATTTTTTGTGATAAAAATATAAATAAGGTAATGGCTTATTCTATAACAACTAAGATGGAGTAATAATTATTTAACTTAGAAATTGAAAGATTTTATTAAATTTAATAAAATAATGACAATTTCATAATACTCCCTCCGTTCCAGAAAACATGAGAGTTTTGATTTTGAAGACGGATTTAAGGGGAGTGTATTTTGGTATTGAATTTCCAAAAATGTCCCTTGATGTGATGAGTAAAAGTATGATTTGATGGATAGATTATTAGTAAAAAGGTATGATGTGATAGGTAGGGTATAAAAAAGTAAGGGGTAAAAGCGACTTTTTAATAGAAATGAGAAGTGTTTTTTGGGACGGATGAAAAAAGAAAGGAGAAAGATTTTCAGGGACGGAGGGAGTATGAGACATTTGAGTCTTAGCAAAAAAATGTGAGGTATCCTGGAGTACCTTTTTGGTGTTTGATTGGTCAAAGTAACATAACTTTCAATCCTAACAGCCAAATGAACGGAATATACCTTCTGTGTACATTACCACAAATCCTAAAGACTCTCGAAATATGTTTTAGATGATATAGGACCTCGGAATTCTTAACAAAAAATTGAGCAAACTCCGAAATAATTTTCTTCTAAATTCGGAAGACTAATAGCTAGTCTAGGGGGTGGAGTCCAGATTGATGTCACTGTAGTTTGAATATCTTAATGAATGCCTTTAAGATAAAAAAAAATATTCTTATTTTTCATACAAAAAAACTACTTTTGCAAAAAAAATTATAATATAAAGTTAGCATATATATCAAAATGTTAAATTTTACAAACATATTGTGGTTACGTTTCACCCTAATTTATTTATGCAGTATTTATTATAAAATAATACATTTGTAATTATTTTTTATAGATTACAAGATTTTGTTTTAAATGTCAGATATGTCACATAATGTAATCAAATCTATTTTTTCTTTCATGATTGACATTTGTTTTCATTGTAACTCCTGTTTTTGGAATAAACACATATAACTTTTATTTTTGTACATTTTTTTATGTTTTACTCCTATTTTAGTCTTTTTCTCTAAACTATTTTAACTTTCAAATTTGTAAAATAAAAGTTCAAAAAATAGAAAAAAATTAAATTTTGAAATAAATAATAATGAGAAAAAACTCGGTAATAAAGGGAAAGGTGGGGGGTCCTATATAAAGTATGATTAAAAAAACATTCTATGTAATTATTTTATCCATAATTTTAAATATAGTCTAAAATATTGATGTCTATTTTATCATGTAGATTAATATACAAAAAATTGTCTTATTCATATTAAAAAGTTGAAGAAAAATTATAATGAGTGTGAATCATAAAAATAGTGTGATGAAAAAAATAATTTATAAACTATAGGTATGAACATGATAGTTTTAATAATAATAATAATAATAATAATAATCACATTAAAATTATATCGTTTAAGAGTAATTAGTTGGGTAGTAGTAGAAAGAGTCTGAAGAAAATGAGAATAATTGGAACAATTTAGAAGAAACTGAAAAGAACTAGAAAAAAATGGAAAAACTAAAAGAATTTAGAAGAAACTAGAACTTAAAAATTTAAACTCTAAATAAAGAACAAACTCTAAATAAGGATCAAGGGCATTTTAGCTCACACCATGCTCGACGTGCTAAGGCACATTGGAGGTTTTGCCTTCAAACTTTGTACTATTCGACTTTACTATTCTTTTAGTTTTTTCTAATTTTTATAGTTTTTCTAATCTTTTTCAATTTCTTCCAACAAGAATATAATTAATATGAAGAATATATAATAATATCATATATCTAGATTTATAACATATCATCTCAAACCTAGATAAAGATGAACTTTTTTCAAAATTAATTTTTTTATATATTAATTTGGCCGATCATTCAACCAAGTGATTTCCTAATGCTTTTATTTTTCCAACATTTAAGTTAAACCAAATAAACTTTGATCATTAATTAAATAAATAGTAATTCCCAAAACAATCATTTCTAATAGTACGTTTTTTCCAAATTAGTTTTCAATAAGCAATATTTACCAATGTGGTCCATTGTAATTCAGATGTATCCCCTACATAGACCTCTGTAAAAAATGTTTATTAAATTTATGTCAAATGCAAGGTATTTTGTTATTCTTTCTAGCTCATCAAAACTTAAAATTTATTCTCAAAATGCTTCTTTATAATTAAGTATATTTCCAAATTGATAATTTCTAAATACATATTTTCTAGAAATGGAGTCTGTGAGACTACCCTTCAATTGGTATGTTCTTTTAGCACTCACCACTTGATTTGAAAGCACTATTTTAAGAATTTGTTTATAGTTTAGATGATGAAAAATACTTAAATATCCTTCATTTAATTATCATTTAATGGACATTTTGACAAAGAACTATTTAAAAAATACGGAGTACATCTTAACTACAATTTACAAAGGACCACGTTGGTAATTATTACTTATAGCAGACTAAAATACCTTATTAGAAAAGACTGTTTTGAAATTTACTTTTAAATAAAAAATACATTGAATATTATTATATAAACCGATTTAATTAGATATACTTTATGAATCAAAAAATTAAATTTAAACAATATTTTGAATCAATAGAGGTTACACAACCAAGGTATTTCTCATATGTTACTCGTTCTGTTTTATACATAGTATCTTTTTTCGCAAAGCATTATTTAATTTTACGAGAACTTTTATTTATTTAAAATTTTCTGTGGATTATATGATAAAATAAATTATTCTTTGAGAAGGAATCAACCAAACTTATCATCACTAAAAAGCCGTTAATACTTCACCATTACGTTAAGAGTTTTGTTCAATTAAGAAGACTTTCAATATTAGTCGCAATTTCCTCTCTTAACTTTTCAACAGACGCGCACTACATGTCAACTACTACCCACATTATACGGAGTCAGATGCGCGGCTTTTTTTTCGCTTTAAAAGTTAAAATCCCCTCCCCATTCAATCAATAATCTCTAGGCTTAGCTTCCGTTGTTTCTTCTTCTCCTCCTTCCTCTCTCTCAAATTCTCCTATTTCTCCTCCATTCCACGCCAATGGATACGGCGGCGAATCAGGCCCAATGCGACTCCAAAACCGCCACCAGAATTGTCAATCCGTCCTCCTCGTCCTTCCGCCTCCGTAGCCCTAGTCTCAACTCCGTGCGCCTCCGCCGCATCTTCGACATGTTCGACAGCAACAACGACGGTGTCATCACCGTCGACGAGCTCAACCAGCCGCTCAACCGTCTCGGACTGGACGCCAACCTCGCCGATCTGGACTCCACGATCCAGTCCTTCGTCAACTCCAAAAGCGCGGCGGCCGGCCTCACGTTCGACGACTTCCAGGCCCTGCACCGCTCCCTGGACGCCGAACTGTTCGGCGGATGCGGCGAGGAGGCCGTCACCAAGGCGCAGGAGGAGGCGGAGATGAGGGAGGCGTTCAAGGTGTTCGACGAGGACAACGACGGAGCCATATCGGCGAAGGAATTGGAGGCGGTGCTCGCGAAGCTAGGGCTGATCGAGAAAGGCGGCGAGATTGGGCGCGTGGAGCAGATGATATCGTCCGTCGATCGGAATCGCGATGGAGTGGTTGATTTCTCCGAGTTCAAGGAGATGATGAGCTGCGTCATGGGCCGCCATCGCTGATCCAATTGAATCGCAGAAAGATAGGTGAATTTTTCTTTTTTCATACGGAGTATTAGGCTCATCAAATACGTTTGTTTGGTTCATCCTCCAATTTTTTCAATTTTCAGATTCAGATTGAATTAGTTTTTCATCTGATTGAATTGTTCATGTTCATATTTTTTTTTGTGTTAAGTTACATTTTTTTGCTAATTTCATGGTATCCAAACTTACTTTAATTTTGGTCTTATGTGAGTTTGTTATATATCCTGTCCTATGTGAGAATTGTTGGTGGAGATTCTTGCTTCTTGATAGGATATAAGTTAGTGTAGGATCATTGTTCACAATTGCATATTTGTTAATGTGAAGCATGTTTTGTGGGTACATGTATTCTAAAAGCTCAAAGATTTAATATGGTTTATTAAATGAAAGTATTTGGAGATATCATGGGTGGACGACGGTTACGACGACAGTGAGTAGTTAGAGATAGCGGTATACATGTAAACAAATATTAAAATATTTGATCTTGAGATCACTCAAATTCGAGAGATTTCAAAACTCTCCTTTGGAGAGAATTATTGTGATGTTGAGAGGTATCAAATTCAAAACCTATTAAACATTAATTAGGGAATATTAGACTCCATATTTTACATCACAACACCTATGACTTAACCGATCTAACCATCTAAACAACTGTTCTAAGTTCCAACATCATCAAGAACAAACACTTCAACGAAATATATTCATAGTCATTTAACTAAAAAAAATGATGTACGGAGTAAAATTTTGGGATCACACACAGGAGAGTAATTGTAGTCTAAACTGACTTCAAATCAAGAACTTATGCTAAAATGAATATCAATATATTTTAGGCATTGCACAAAGTTGGAAGAGATACATATATTGACACACATATTCCATATGTGAATTCCTTTGTACGGAGTACTTTGTAAAATATTAGAAAGCTCTCTAGACAAGAGTATAAAATTATAAAAACACCAAGGGTTTAAAGTTTTTTACGAGCAAAATAGGAGTTCACACTGACATTTTTACGTTGCCACGCACACCACAATGTAACACTGTAACTGCGACACTATCACCGTCACGCTGTCATCCGTCGCCACCAGCCACCAGAGTGTCGTTGCCGATCGCTGACGTGGACCGGTGATCCATCAGCGGTTGACTGAACACAATGTTATATTCAATTCCCATCACTTTAAAGAAAACATAAAACACACAAAACATAAGCGCACTGTGTGAAAATGTGAAGCATGTAACAAAAAAACGGATTTTATCTCATGAAATTACCCTCGTCTTCGTGGTTAAAAGCAATGAATGATTTTTTTTCCAGCTCTTTTCTCACACGATTTTAACTTAAAATAAACCTACTATGGTTCAAAGTGACACATCACAATTGAAATTTTAGATTAGCTTTTTTATTGTTACATGATTGATGTCTTTGCATAATATGCGCGGATTGTTTACATTTTATGAATTTTCTAATATATGGACTAATTATGCTATGGTTGTTTGACCACATGAACTATGTGACTCATTTTCTTCCATTAAAAAGGATAGCCCCATCTCTGAGGATTCATCACACCTAGTCGAACGGTCACAGAGTGACAGAGATAATGTAAATTTGATTTGATTGCAGATTGATGACAGAGAGTGAAACATGCACCTGGTACTTACAGAAGCTCTATGTAACACCCTAATCCGTCCAGGTCTGCAGCCCCTTTCGGACTAAAGTATTAACTTGGTAATCGTAATAATTTAAAACTTTTCAAACACTTTTTATTTATCACAATAATATTTTTCATAATAGGTACAGTACAGAGAATTCAACAATATTGCGGAAGCGAATTTAATATTGACATATCATAAATCATTTCAAACTTGTCACATCCATCCCGACAATCTCGCCCCATCTGCTGCCAGGATCACATTGGTCTTTCTATTTTACCTGCGTGTAGCAAATAAAACACACTACACGCTCAGCGGTAAAGCTGAGTAAGCATATCTAATGCATCGAACATCCATATAAACTGAATCTAAATTCATAATCAAATCATTTGATATCATGCACACAATGTTCATTTCAGACATTCATAGTTTTGATAATGTTCAGTTCATATCAACACATTTTATTCAATTCAAATATTATTCTGACAGTGCCCTTAAATTATTCTTAATCTAAGGCCAAATAATAACAACGCTCTTAGCTAATCTTAGTCTAAGGC